AAAAAAAAAAAAAAAAAAAGGAAAAAAAGAACATATTTAACTATTTTGGACAATGACACTGGAAAGATTCGATAAGTTACCAGAAGGAAATCCAAATGATTCTCTCTCCAGAATCCTGGAAAAGTCATTTTAAAAATATCTCACTTCAATGCTGATTTTTCTCAGTTGCTGTGCCTTAGACAAGGTATATCAACCACCCCTCCTATTTAATAGAGCCAGGTCATAGGCAATTTTCATATTATTTGACTTACAGAAATTAAAATGCAGATACTGTAAATACCACATTACTGGGAAAAAGCTGGTTTGCATTTAAGCTTCCATTGATTTTTACCAACCCTTTCTGGCTTTGCTAAGGCTACTGGGACATTCTCTTTGAAATCATTTGCAGTGTGCTATGTTGGAATTTTCTCTTGGCTGCCTGTTCAGATACTGGTGCCCTGTCTCTGAAATACGGTTGGCTGATGCTTCCTCTCTGCGTATTTCCAGATTACTTTTTCCTCCTGTAAAAATTAAAGCTAGGAAGCATTGAAACACTCCAATGCTTGGGGTTAACCCCTTCGATGTTTGGGGTTAACACACATGCATGGCAGACATCACCCCTGCCAACTCAGCTGTCCCTCTAAGGAGCTTTGAGAAAAATCCAAAAAATGATGCTGGGGCTAGATTGGGTCCTAGCAGTCTATCAACAAGAAAGCAGAAAGCCCTTTGAGAAGAAGATTAGATGCCTTAAACCAAGGTAAATCTGGGAAGACGGAATAATAAAATGTCAAATCAGGGGCAGGAGAGAGGCCAGAGTACCTGCAGAGGGCCAGGAGAGATCAGGAGGAGCTGAGACGTCAACACGAGGATGGTTTCAGACCCCACTTAGAAACACTGAACTCGAAGCTCCATTGCTCTTGCTGGGCAGAGGATAAGGTCTGCTCCCCTACACCATCACTGCCACTTCCCCTAGTTTGGGGTTCACCATTAAATTAAAAAAAAACATTAATCCAGTAATTGTGATTTTATTCTTTTATTTTCATAAAAATATGGAATGCTTCACGAATTTGCGTGTCATCCTTGCACAAGGGCCAGGGCTAATCCCTGCATTGTTCCAAATTTAGCCATGTGCTACAGAAGCAAGCACTGTGATTTTATTCTTGACCTCTGAAATGTCATTTGCCTAAAATCAGACCTTCGACCCTATTGTCAAAACTATTAGATATAATGTAATAACCATCCCAGGATTTACCCCCACCCACTAGGGCTCTATAAGGAGAATACTTTTATTGCCCTCTGATTGACACGTCCCTTCAACACCTCCACTGTACGCTTCCCAAAGTCACTACTAAACTGCCAGGCGGCAGAAGGGACGTGGCTCCTTTTTTTTTCACAGTGATTACTATTTACTGCAAACTTATTATTTATATACACTTTACATATATGATCTTTCTTGATGTGCATTGTCCTTAATGTACAATGTCCTCTCTCCTGGGAAAGAGGGACCATATTCTAGTTTAAAAACTCTAACCCAGGGTGCAGAGTGGTTGAGAAATAGTCCCAAACACATAGAGCTGCTGCGTGTCACAGCCAGGGATTGAAGCAGGTTGCTCTGACTCCAAGCCCAAGCCCTTTTCTTTGTGATGTCACCCTATTGTTCTGATCTAAGCTTTGTGGCCCATTTTACTGTGCCATCGTTGAATTAGCACTCTCCTAATTTCCTGACCACGTGGCTGCTTGTTAGACACACATAATTGTGCTCTATATTAGCTCAGCAGTTTCTTTGATCTCTTTGAAAAGGCTGCGGTAAACGCAAGGTAATAATGTATGAGCAATCTAGCCTCAAAGGTGGGGACTTGCTCTAATGATCACAACCACGCAGCCTTGACGTTCCCTTATTCCAGCACCTCCATGTAATTACTCCTTAATTTTACTGAAACCTCTCCCATCCATTGATGCTGTCACTCTTTCCCAGTTTTCACTGGCCTCCTAACTTTGCTTCTCTTTTCACCCAGCTCACAATTGATGACCCATTACTAAAATTATTTCATTGGAGACATACTCAGTTCTCTGGCCCCACTCTCCCTGCACTTACCTGGCAGGATGCCGGTTCCTCATGCGTCTAACAAGCCATCTCCTAGCCTGCCTGTATCTACTGGAGATTAGATCACAACTACTTGCCTGGTTGATCTTTAAATTGGTGATCTCACGCCTCAAATATGCCCTCTGTGCTGCCCAAGGGTCCCACCATCTTTCCCCAGTAAAGTTCCCCTTTGAATCTTTGTTCGAAATGCCTATTTCATAATCTCCCACACTCTCTCCCTTTCTCCCTCTCCATTCTTAGCTGATGGCTTAGGCTCACACGTCATTGAAAAGAATCTAAACCATCAGACAGGAATGCCTTGATGTGATTACGTCTACTTTGTAGTCGCTGTGCCCATGTTCTCTCTGCCTTCCCTTTTTGAAATGAAATAACTGTGTCTGCTCCTATCAGAGGTGAATCTTTCTGGTCACACTCAGCTCCTACCCATTTTCATCTTTCCAAGGATTTCTGTTTTGGTAGTCAAACCAGTTAAACCCTCTGTGTTCTACAGAATCAGTGGCTTTCTATATAGTGGGTCATTCCAGGCAATATACAAACAAATTTTATAATTTTCCAAGTTACAAAACCCAAAATACTTCCCCTGGGCATCATGAGTCCCTCTATTGTATTTTTCTGTTTTCTTTCACGGCAAACCTCAAAATACTTCCTCAGCTTTCATTCACTTTTTTAGTTACTCCATTAAGTTTCTGCTTAATGATTTACTGAATCTGCTCTGTCAAGACCACCACGTTATTGCTCTATCCTACGTGTACTCCGGTTTCCATGGTACTCACCTCCCTCTCCATGACATCTGACCCAATTGTCCGATACCTTCTTGGAAATCTTTTCTCTCTTGGTTTCAAGACAAACACTCTCCTACACTTCGCTCTGGCCAGTCCAGGCAATATTTGAACCCCTTTTTCTGGCCTGACAATCAGCCCCAGAACCTTCCCATGACACCCGGCTTAGTGTCATCAGCCAAAAATTGTGTTATTGCTGTTTGGTTTTTGCAGCCAAACTACTGGTTCCAGTTTGGTTTTGGACATTTTAAGGAGATAGGAATTGCAGGTAAAATCACAAATCCATGCATGGGAGGTGTACATTGGTTTGGCCTGAAAAGGTGAGACATCTTGAAGTGGGGAAGATGTACCTCATAGATTA